ATTAGAAGCGCTATTATAAACAGCAAGCGTAGGACTCTCTTTTTTCTACGTTGCTCTAGCCAGATAAGCCTTGCAGTTCCAGGAATCTCTTTCAGTTTCAGGGATTCCAGGGATCTTTTTTAGTATCTACTCGAGAGGAAAATCCGCGTTCACGGAATGGCCTTTCAAAGTTTTTGCTCGTCTAGACAGCGGAATTTGATACGAGTGGATTTGTCAATAAAGCCTCACAAAACTGCTTGGGACTGATTGGCACTTTAGCTCCAAGAATACTCTACGAGCTCTTTGACGTTCGGAATGTTAAGTGTGGTAATCGAGCAGGTCACTAACATAGCAAATCTGGAAAACGACAATTTTTGCGCAGTTTTTAATAGCTAGACCGCTCAGATTAGGACTACTTCGATAACTTTATAGTAATTGTAGGTAGACTAGAGCATATATAATAGATTCGTTGTGTTAGAGGGAACGTTTTATCTTAACCCATTGTCGACGATGTGGACCCACCGGTGCCCGCAACTTTTGCAAAGTCATATCCTTTGTAGGTCTAGTATTTCTTCCATAGGCCAATATTTTTTACAATTTTCTGCACTCTTGGAACCTGTAGGCTCCGTCGTTCAAAAAAATGTTTATAGTTGTTTACAAAACAACCTTGCATTTAGTAAATAACCATAAACTTCTCAAGCCGAAAGTGTTGTGCAAAATCGCGTCGTTCCACAGCCCGCTACGCAAAATCAGGCGTTGTGGTCAATGGGTTAAGACGAGAATGACTGCTCAAAAATAATTTTCTGGAGGAGTGGTACAGCGAGGGACCACGTCGACGTTAGAGAAAGCAGAAAAGGGTAACAACCAGCAAACAAATAATCACCAGAAATTTTCTGAGAATTTCGAATGTTGTCCATCCTTTTTTCATCTTGCAGCCACATGACTTTGTACCATACACATTCACCAACGAATGCGACACGGCCAATTTGGCGAACCACTCCAGCTTAATTGGGAACTGAATCCGAAAGGAGACATCTGTTAATGCCGACTAATCGTGAAGCACTCGGGGACAGATGCTTGGCCGCTTATTGGGAGGATTGACCTCAGCGATGCGAAACAACCAACATCCTCCCGGATCATTATTCGCGCTCCCTTGTTCGTATAGCGTAAATTGAAGCAAGGTCACACTGCTAGGGATCTGTGCTGGCTGTGTCCGTCACACTCCGATGGGGACGAACTTCGGAGGGATCGGAGATCAAACAATGTTAGGTGCAAAAATAAAAAGGAGACAGGAAAATTTCGAACGCAAATTTTCTGAACTCGGGAACAAGAAGTGGGACACTGGAGAAATGCGCATGTTCAAAACGATGAGATGGAATCACGGCGAAATTCTCAAACCATTCACGATTTCAGGAAACGAAGAAGCCGAAATTAAAGAGCATCACCATTTTGTCTTTTTGAAAAAGAAAGATTGTGAACTTGAAGCATCTTGTTTCACAAGAAATTGGATGAAGAAAATGCTGGGAATTGTGATAGTGACTAATGCATTCACAGAATGTTAGATAAAATTTTGAAATTTTGTCTTCTTTCCACCTTGGTACCTATAGAAATTGTCCCAAAACGTGCTTTCTCCGAATCCTGGTATTTCGGCACTTCTTTTTTGAGTTTTTGGCCAAAGGCTAGTTTTGAGTTCCGCAAGGATACACTTTTGCCGGAGATTCATTTAATGGATGTTGTTTGGAAGAAACTTTCGTGTTGTTCAGATGTCCTTCCTTTGAAGTTACACAAATTGGCTGTACCGAGTGAAGTTTTTCACAAACAAATGTCCGAGTACTTATAGCACTCGTTTGTTAAACATCGATTTGGAGGAAGCATGGATGGTCTGTAAAGTTTAATTTTTATACTTAGTGAAAGCTCTCAAATCCTCCCTATCCATATGCGTGCATAAGGTTGCAAAATGGCTAAAGTGCTTGCCAGGATTTCAGTTAGTGCAACGGACTATATTCTCTTTCGGAAAATGTGCGCGTCAATGATTGGGAGCAGGGCTCGGCACACGTGGCTTACAAGCATGCTGGATATCGTTTTTGCATTCGAAAAGACGATCTGCGACGTTTTCTCAATAGAGATTTTAGGGATTATGGTCTAGGTCGAAGGGAACTTCGTAAAAATTTGCAAAATTCAAGGGGGGGGGGGGCTACGTTTTTTTGCATTTTCATCTAGCCACCTCGCGCCGAGCCCCGATTGGGAGAAAAACTGCACCGGTAATAACTGTTTCAAATATATTTTTATTATAATCAAGCAAGAAACATTCTGGATTTCTTCACATCATTCAAGTAATAAACTACTATTGAGTTGTCCCAAAAGTAAAACGTATTTCTAAGTAAATCAAGCTGTTCCCGTATTCCTGGTAAACGTAGGGCAACATTCGATAGAGCGAAACGAGCTCTGCTGGATGACCGCTAAAGATCCCCTAAGTCGCAATCCAGGTGAAATTTGGAGCCAAAAATCAAAATTTTTCAAGTACCCAAAAATTCGGGTCTTCTTCCAGAAAATTCGTACGAAAACCTCCAACATGGTCGTTATAATGTAGGCATATAGTAGTACTCAAAAATGTATTCGGTGGATTTTCTCTGTGGCTCAAAATTGAGAAAATATTATCTCCAAAATGCAAAAATGTCACTTTTTTCGGTTTTTTAATGTTAAGCTTGGTGGTTTGTGGTGTACAATGACATATGTGGGGGGGGGGGGACTGGGGGCGGAGTTTGCGACTATCATTCTCTTCTCGCTTTCCACGCATGAAAAAAATCCAGTAAAGCCATATTTAAGTACTATTACGTGTTTGCTGTATGACCAAGTTGGAAATCCGTAGGATTTTGTTTTCGCAAAAATCCAATTTTTGTGTTAAATTTTTTCTTCTTTTGACTCTCGATTTCACCTAGATTACGACTTAACTAGTCTTTTGTGATCTTATGAAGCTTGCTTTGCTTTATAGAAACTCCAAGTCTGTTAGGGAACCAAAAACAGTTTGACTAATTTAGAAATACGGTTTACTCTTGAGACAACCTAATAGATCTATCATGAAACCAGTAGAGTAAAATGAGCTACCAAAGTTGACTGTGGTGTACCGCCTTTAGCATGGTAGCATCCGGATTTGTAAGTGCCGACAACGCACCAGCGCAGTTCCAGTGTCGTACCAGCGTCGTGCAACATCTGTGCCGAGACGTTGATCAACAATTACGGTGCGCGTCTGCTTCAGCAATATCAAGGCTCATGAGCATCTGAACGCAGCAAAAAATTCTAGAGGCACTTGAGAGATAGACGCAACTAGGTGTCTTTCCGGAAAGGAGTTGAGAATGGCGATGATGAGAGTTGAGTTTTCACAGTAGTGTGAACAAGAGTCAGAAAGTTTGCGACACAAAAATACTTCGAGTAGAACTTCCTCATCAGCAAAACCTGTTGCAAAGTGTTTTCATTGCATGTAATGCTATAAGAGCCCATTGGAAAGGCAAACAAGGTTTTTAATGCGGAAGTATGCGAATGCATCGAAACGACATAGGCAAGAAAAGTGATTTAAATTTCTGTTTCCCAGCGTTTATTGTGCTCTGAAACAGGGCATAGAGGGACAGCACACAATCATGAGCGATATGTCATTATAGGTGCTTCTTTTTGCGAAGTGTGCCAAACTTTGAGATAGCATGATTTTTGGTATGGAATATATGTCCCGCAGATAGTTTCCTATTGTTAAAAGAATCCATTGAATGCTGTCAGACGGGTTACGCTAGTCGTCAAGAAAACTAGTATGATCTTTTCCACTTTAAATCACTGCAACCTTTTTCTTCCAGAAAAGACTTACTAGGAGGGCTTTTCTTTCATTTCAGTAGTTGTTACTTGTGGAATTTTCTATGAGGAGTTATGAGTGCTTCTTGGGGCGAAAATTTAGAATTGCATGTGGAATTTAATCGTTCAGAACAGTTCTCTGCACTTGAAGTAGTGATGGTAGGTCACCCCCCCCCCCCTCCCTCGCCCACTTACCTCCCTCCAATCATGCTCAGCACTGCTCCCCTAGCTTACGAAAGATTGTTCGGAGAAAAAATAGCTTCTAATCAGCACATTATCAGGCATCTGCTTCATTTGTTCAAATACGAATAGGGGGCGTTTTTGGTCAAGGGTATGAAATAACTCAACTTTTTGACGGAAGGAAAATGTCAGGAATGCAATGGCAAATTGGGAGTCAACGGGAGATATTGAAAGGTCAAAAATCAAGCTAGATGGACTGGGTTTTTACATATGATGATATATGTAGTACAAAGCAAGTACACTAGCACAGATAATTGACATTGCTATACCAAAGTGAATAATTTTATCTGTAGAGATTAGATTGCAGAAAAGAACTGATAAGAACATAAGATTTACAGTAACAAGGCAGAGCTCCTGCAGTTCAATAAATGTCATTGAAAAAGTGCGCAAAATCCAAAATCCAAATTAGAATTCTGATTATAAAATTAAAGTGACCGAATCATAGTTATAAGTAGTAAAATTACAGTAATCGTAATTTGATCACCTAACTGGCGAGTTATTGCAAGATCAATTTTTTTGTTTACGAGGCTTCAGTGATCTTGTTTAATACAAGCCAACTTGAAATTCAGTCAGGTACTCTTCCATATTCGGAAAAAAGTGGAAAATTAGTCTACAGTTGCTGAAAAAAGATATAAGCAGGTAAAACCCGAATGAGATCTGTAAGCAAGATGTATCTATAATGTATCTGAACTCGGCAAAATAGTGATTAGGCTGCCTATTATAGGTATTCACTTTTGCCTATTATAGGCATACTTGAAAGAATACCAAAAGTTTGCGATGAAACAAACGAGGATCGCTCTGCATGTCAGGCTGCAAAAGCTTTCACAAGCATAGATCGCACTGACGATTATCCAGACTTGGATCTTCGATAGAAACCTCCGATAGTTCTTCGGCAAGATGTCACACGGCACAAAGAAAGACACAAACAGATATAGATCGCCTACCCTGACTAGAGTTCCCGTGGGCTAATGAAGCGATCTTGGCACGGATCCAATTCAGTTTCTTCCCCATAAAACCATGCTGAAATCTAGATTGAGGTTTTCCAGTAGGAATTCTAACTGTACCTTGATCTCCTTGGAGTATGATGTAGTGGAAGATGTCATGACAAGGTAAAGAAGTGAATGCGGTGTCGAAGAGCGTCTGACTTTTCGCTTTTGATCCTGATTAGCTTTGAAAAGCGGCACCGGGCTTTCAGCTATTAACCCGCTGCCACTCCCGTTTCCGTGAGCGAAGATTAATTCGGGAGCGAATGAATGAAAGCGGGAAACAAACCTGAAATGAGACTTTTTCCTTATCGCATGGATTCCTAGAATTCCACATTAATCAGCATAGAAAAGGGAAAAACACCTCATAAATGCTAATGCCGAGCAATTTGCGAGCGAATGTTCAGAATAAAATGGTGTAATAATCATTGTGTTAGCGCTTTCGATATAGCCTTCAGTCTAAAGCTGTTTTTCCAACTGCTTTTCCTCCAAATTGTGCCCAGAGGTCAAAGTCAACTATAGATACAGCACGATGAAAAAATTGACTGAATAGGTAAACGATGAAATAAAACAATTGAAATGTTGATGAAGATTCTTTTTCCAACAGGAGCGCCACTAGTTTCTGCCCAGCAATTTGTGAGACTACTACACCATCCCTGAACATGTGTTACATATTTTTTGCGAAAGGACGAAACCATGAGGAGCGGACCTAGCGGTAGGAACATCTTGAACATCTGCGCTCAAAAGATCTTATCTGCCCCTATGCAAAAGCACTCCCGGATTTTACCTAATGTGATTCAAAAAATGTCGAAGATATTTAACATCAAAACAAAAATACTCCAGCTGAATTCACAACGTTGAAAAGTCAAAGTTAAGTTTGCTCGGAAGATTGTCTCTATCTGATAGCATTCATAGTAAGCTAATTGCAAAGCTTCAAACTAGCCACTGCTCAGTTTCGCATTTTTTAAAAAGGAGTTCTTCGTTCTTTTTCATAAAAAGGCAGACCTAGAATGAAAAAATTTGAAGCTCTTTTTTGAAGGAAGCTTCCTTCGTTCTTCTTCGTAGAAAGGAAGGCAGAGAATCAAAAAATTTGATGAAAATTTCCTTTGTTTATGAGAATTAAAGCGTGAGACTATTGGCACTGACTCTTTCTGGAATCTTTTACGAATGGTAGAAAATTGTAGTTCATCAGCAAATGCTACTAAATAATCAGCATTTATTTGGTCAGAGAAACAAGTTCAGTTAACAACTAACGGCTCATTCGTCTTGACACCGTGTTATGTCAGTGTTGAGAGTAATTTTCTTCTTTCAATCAGTGTCTGAGATATTCGAAGTTTGTGGATGCGTTGAGACTATTTCAAAATCGCACTGCAAATCTTATCTCTTCAAATGACCTATAATCAATTAACTCCCATCAATTTTAGACAAACTAATATCTCTTGCGGTTTATTTCATTTCTTTGAAAGGCACGCATAAAATGATAAATCCAAATTGCATACCAATCTCACTGGGAGTTCTAGCACGATTTCAAAGCATGGTCAGTCCTAAGAAAGTCATTTACCCTAATTTCACGCGTACAAGGCGCGGGGGATTTTTTTTCCAAAATCGACCAGCCCAAATACGCCAAAGAACTTCGCAACCAAAGGACCCTATGCCTTGCTGTATATTGCTTAATAGAATCGTACGGCATAAGGATCGCTTTCCGAAATAATTTGAAGCGGCTGAGGGGCTTAGTTGAAAAATCGAATAAGGTGCGCCTTGTACGCGTGAAATTAGGGTAATGTCGCGCAAAGTGTATCATCATATACTAATGCTTCTGAAGGCCGCGTTCATATATCCGGAAGTGTGGTAACAGTTCCAGCACATCGCTCTAACTGAGCGCTGTGCTGGAATTGTTCCCGGACTTCGGGATCAGTATCAATGCATCCAAAAACGCAATTCGGAGTGCTTCTGCTACCTATCTTATCGACAAGCAGATTCCCACCATAATCTTAATCGATCTAGTGACCTACACTACGATCAAATGTCGTAAATAGCTCGGAGCTATAATAAAGTGACATCGCGCATTAGATATCTCAATAATATCAGGTTATTTACTTCCAAAATGATCTTTGTGCAGTCTATTAAAATAAGACACGAATTCTCGTTAGTTTTTTTCCATTCTTTTCTTTTTCATATTTTTTCTCGTTTTTTCGTTTATTTCTCATACAAGTTACTTTATGTAAAACGAGCTCTGATTTTTCGGAAAATGTCAAAATATTTTCCATCCTGAAGGTTGCCAATCCATCACTCACAATACGAAATCCTTTCCGAAAAACTCTTCGCACTATCCTGTTGGATCCCTGCACAATTTTTTTTTCACATTTTCTCATCACATCCAGCAGCATTTATTCTTTGATTGTGTAGGTCACGCTGAAATTTGATGTTTGGTAAGCAGTACTTGAATACCAAGTGTTTTTCACAGTAGAACACAATACGATAGCGGTCTACAAATTCATCCATCTATGGAGGAATGAATCATGTTCTTCATTACTACCTCCTCCATTAGTTGCTCATTCTCAAAACGACGATATATGGTTGTGAAGTCGCGAAACAGTAGAGGAATATAGTTCTCTTTTATCCGAGATGAAATAAGCCACCTGTTGTCGTTTAGTGGTCACAGCTTTTAAGAAGAGATATTATTACTTTCTTTTTTCATTTTAAAGTTCGAACTGGGTAGCTTTTTTCTAATTTTACAAGAGGGTTGCTGTTTCTATACGCATATCTGGAGCCAGTCATATTCAACTACTTTCAACTTCCAACACTCTCTAGCAAAAAATTTTACATCGTCTGCAACTCTCTCTCACACAGAAAATCATTTGAGAGCCGATCTGCTTTTGCTTAGGTATGGCACCAATACATCTGCGGTTCTACGCCATCGTAGAATCTCCTCATGCGGACTGGAAAATCTCAAACATTCGCCAAGCTTTATTGGAGAGAGCTGCAGCCTCAGTACACATTATGGCTGAATATTGTTTCCATGTTATTCTCAAGGCAAGTTACTTTATCCTTTACTGATTTCTCAAGTAGATAGAACATCCAAAAATAAATCAGAGAGATCCAATGCTAGTTGCTGGGTGCAACACATTAAGTTTGGAGCAGAAACTTGAATTCTGTTTTCAAACAGAACTTTTCATAATCCATTCAAAAATCTTCTCATGCTGACTTCTTGTTGATTAACTGTAAGATAGTTGCAATTTATTTATTTTGGCCTAAAATTCTCAGTTAGATTTATTTTAAAAACTTGTAATTATTCTAGGATGGCACAGACCCAATCGAGTTTGAGCGATCCGAGTTGGAGAAATTAGAGTGGCTATTGTCACCCAACCCTTTTGAAGGCTGTCTGACGCGTGATTCTCAGCTGAGCGGAACGACCAAAGAGATCGGACCTAGGTCAGTGTCAACTTCCTCACTAATCGTAAGTTGAAACATGGGGGACCGACAATAACGTGTATATAGACTCAGAACTGGATGCTTCTACAACTCTTCTACTATGGGGAATACGGATGCAAAAAAGATTGATAGTATTTGTAGCGTTTTTGTCTATAAATATGACAATAGAAGTCTTTGGCTTCCCTTTTTCACAGAATTTAATGCTGATCTCAAAATGCGCCAATGCTAATGGATAATACTAATTTCTGAAGTTAAGATCGGTAAAATTTGCACAGGTTTTAAGCGTCACGATACTAATACACTTTGCTTGTGAACATTTTTTGGACACCACTTCATTATCTCTGATTTAGCAATTGTGAAACTATCAAATATTTGTCAAAGAGCACTGTAAGCCAAGTGAGAAAAATCAAGTGAGCTCTTAAGTATCAATGAATTTAAACAAGCCATTCGGTCTCAATGAATATATTCAGCTCTTCCAATAAATATCCAATGAGAAGGATCGCCGAAGTCTGTACTTCAGGCCTATATAAGTCTGGGCACATCTTATTGACTAAATTCGATTAAGAGGTGTTAGAGGCACCGTCCACCCTAAGTTGAGAGTCTTGGGCTTTTTTCTAAATTTTCGATGAGTGGAGTCCCTAAACTCCAGAAACAAGCCATGGTTGTTCCGATACTTACAAGGGAAGGTATATGACTCGCAATGGAGTTGCCCTATGAAATGTATATCATTCGAAAGGGCTTTGAGTTCTGATTTCAAACCAAACTTCCTTATGTGTTTATCGGGTTATTCAAGTAATTTTCCGCTTCCAGTTTGCATGGTCAGGTACTGTGTGAATGATCTAAATTCGAATAAATGCGAATTTGGTCAAAAGTTACACGCCCAAATGTCTGAGATATATTTATTGTACATAAAAAATGATGGGAATAGTTTTGGAGTTACTCTGGCGCCATAGTCCTGCAAAAGCAACCAAAATCAGTGTCATTTGAGGCTAAACAAATGCCTGTAACTTTGTTCAATAAACCGATAAGCAGATAATGAAGTTTGTTTTGAAATCAGCAATCAAAGACCTTTCGGATGATATACATCACATAGGGAAACTCCACTGCGAGTCATATACCTTCCCTGTTTAGTATGAGCGCAAAAAACTCCGATTCCAGGCAATCTGCATAATGAAGGGAGTTTTTGCCAATATCTCTTGAATTGGTTGCTCAAAATGATTGCCTTCGGAGGAGCAGCATGGGTTTATCCGTGGCTCTTCTACAACAACGCAAACAATAAAGCGCTGTCAAGAATGACTCGACGCCGTAGTAATGGCAGATCTGTCGTGGTGAATCACCAGATGTCCCTTGCTAAACTTGAAAGCATTAGGATTAGAAGTAGTCTTTTGGCTTGGTTTGAGTCCTCTCACAGACCGAAGTTAGTTTTACCGTCCTTGTTCAAGGTCAAAACTTGTTGAAATATTCTCCCCTCCGGGTGAACCCCAGAGAAATGCTCTCTCTCCATTACTGATCAACATCTATACCAGAGAGCTCCCGAGTCTGCTGAAAACTGATATTCGAATCAGTGCAGCAGACGCGGGTAGGGGTGCCTCATACCGCGCCGACAGCCGCCGCTAGCCGCCATTAGGCTTTTGCATACAACGTCAGTATCCTAAGGTCTTTCCAAAACGTGAAGGGATTATACTATCGTATCCAGCATGCTGAAAAACCCCACTTAACCAAGTTTGAGCAGTGGATTCGATCTCAGGGCCTAGTTACTGGCATAGTGCGCAGAAGAGGCTAGCGGCAGGTGCCGGCGCGGTATGAAGGTTCCCTGCGCAAAATCTATGCTGTTTTTGATAGAAACGATGAAGTAGTAGCTGATAAACTAAGATCATCTGTACATCAAATGCGAAAATGGTGCGGGGTGTGAGGGTTGGAAGCAGGGCTCAGCAGAGGTGGCACTTTCACAGGCTAGATGTCGTTTTTCTCAGAGAAAAGCAAAAAGGAACTCGTAATGTTCCCGGGAATTTCTGAGAAATCGATACAATATTAGCAAGCACATAGCTGACCTTTAGTAAGCCTTTCAACTCCAACGTCATCTCAACAGTAACAAGGCTAACACGTTACAAGCATGACAAGTACTCGGACCCGTGTGCACACGATTTTAATGTGTTAAATCACAATCTTTATGCACAAAAAAAAACAAATAATCAGTCCGTTTACAACCGGTAAGCAATATTGAGCCACCAAATTTGGTGTGTACCTCTGCCGACGATCAGAGAGGAAGTATGAAGAATTATGAAAAAATTTTGTGAATGAAAGGAGCTGCAAATGTTTTTCTAACTTAGGTTGCTTCAGCGCAACCTGGGAGCACCTTGAGTTGCTCGGAACCAAACGAAGTCAGAATTTTCTCCCTTCTTCACATAATTTGCCAGATTTTTGTACATAATTCTATTCCTCAGTTCGAACTCTACCTACGAATACTTACCTTAACCCAAACTCCATTTCTCCTGCCTTGCTACGGCCCTTGAATGACACTAAAACCGCCTTTTTTCACGTGTTGCCGTTTCATCTCCGAGTTTCTTGCCTATTCTTAACTTCCATTAAACTTTGCTTTAGATTATTAGCTGTCCTCTCACAAGTACCACAAAGGGTATTACGTAATCTTCTGCAATGTCAAAGGGGACTTCGTCTTCGAAATTCTCAAATGCCACCTCGTGCTGGGTCCCTGGTTGGAAGTCACCGACCTAAAAGTCAAGTCTAAAATTTGGCGAAAATTCAGTTGAATTTGATGACTATGAATTGTTTTTGAAGTCGCAGAGTGTTTCGCTTCCCAAATTGATAGCGTGCTCACTACGGGCTTCAGGAATTATCTACTTTGTTAGGAATATACACACAAGAGATAAATTTATCTGGGTACGCTTATATATAACCTGTGTCCTCCATTCTAGAATGCTGCAGTCCAGATTGCTATTGGAGTTAAATAAAAACAAACTGCGCTTAAATCTTGCGCAGAGAGTCGCGCACGAAAACGCTGATCTGTCTTGTTAATGAGTGATTTTCAAAGCTTGGGACGTTGTCAGTTCTCCTCGTCGTGTCATGACGATCAGAATTATATATAATGTTGCAGGGTTTCGTTGAGACCTCGTGGAGATCTATAACCAGAGCCAAATGCCGCGTCAGCTCTGGTCTGGCTCCGCTGCTCGTCTGCGTCTCCGCGCGCTGCGCGCTACCTCCCTACCCCAAACGCGGGGCGCGGAGCATTTAGCTCTGGTACCCTTTTCTTCGCTGTTTCGAATCCAAATTTAGCAAGCTGTATACCACTTTGAAGCTCTTGATCTGTATTGTCACGTTTTTTGATTTTTTTTTGATTTGATCGAGAAATCCGGCAAAAACCTTGTTTTCGAAAATCTCTTGTTTTTCTCCTAGTTTAGCTCTTCTCACGCGGTTTTTTTTTCGTGCATTCTATAGATCTTGCTTCTGTTCATAATGCAGACGACCACCCAACCCTTATCTCTTCGATTAAGGTGGAATTTTTTGCGAAAAATCGTAAAAAGTGCGTTTTTCTTTACCTTGTTCTGTCTCAGTGCTTTCGCATCGATTTTTTTCCAGCTTGGGCGATTGTTGCTCAGAAGAATAAGCGCAACAATCCAGACAACGTCCCAGCAAACAGGAACGTCAAGCGGGAGAAAAATTTAAAGGACGCATCAAAAGTCAAAACCCGTGTTGCGAATTGCTGGTCCTGGAGCGAAAACCTGCACTCTGAAAAGCTGCCAAGTGAAGGATTTCAAACCTTTTTGCAGCGTTTTATCCGGTTTACAGCAGTTTCTTTTGCCTTTTATATCTGTTTTACGTCATTTTCTCTTTTCTGATCTTCTTTAAACAACCTTCACTATTTATGATGTCAAATGTTCAAGCAACTTTCACTTTTGGCGCCCTGTCTCTAGACTATCGAAGGTATGACTGGAGTACTCCAATAGCAACTGTACAACAAATTCGGCACAACAAACCTGATATAGTACTATGGGACAACGGCAATCGTATAATCCAAATAATAGAAGCCACAGTGACCTGGTATGTACGAATTACAGAAACAGAGCGCTTAAAGTGCACAAGTATGCAACTAACAGTAATCTACCGCAAGGCATACAATCCTCACAATTCACTCATGGTTCCAAATCTCAAACAAGCGCTAGAAACTGAGCGCAGATGCCGAGTCGAGGTCATACCCATCATAGTCGAACTGGTAGGGAATGCACTCCGACGCTCAGAAGAAACATCAACAAGCTACGCTTAAAGAATTGCAACAGCATCATAGAGAGCATCACCCGAGCAGCTGTAGTAGGCAGTGATCGAATTATCCGCTGTCATCTCTCCCAACCTCAAGAGGAGGGATTTTGAAGCAGACACAGAAGAGGAAATTCGAGCCACGAGGTGAGCGTGGCCGCATGAAGTGACAAATTACAAGCCGGCATACCGCCGAAGTGAGCATAATAGCCGTAGACCCGGCTTGAAAAGTCCAGAACGCGGGCCAGCATGAAGCCAAATACTGCGCAGGCAAGGAGCAATAATAAGACTACCCCAGGTGAAACACAAAGACGGGAAACACGAGAATGAGAATGCCTGAGGCCAACACTCGTGAGTATAAAGAGGCATTCAGCTGGTACCGCACCCAACATTTCACGTTTAAACTATCCATTGAATCAAGTAGAATGCCAACAGATCGCTAACACCAGGACTGTGCAATACGAGCACTCAGGACGATCACCCTGAAAGCAACAAGGAGCATACCTCCTTCCCACCAACTAAAGTCTGATCAACGCATAGCTCGGCTAGTAATAGCACAATGTCCAGCAAGAACTATATTAGAAAACTCATAAGATCTACCATACCAGTACCCATAGCACTTGCACGGTTTAGCCAACGAATAAGCTCGGTGCAGAACGAGTCGGTAACCCAATAAAATCAACGATGGGGACCAATGACGAGATCAGTCAACCCCAGATAACGATCAAGTA